ATTCATTAAAAAACCCAAACAACCAACCAAACAAAAAACCAAAAACAACACATGCCATGGAGCTGTAAATGCATGCTGGACATATGCAGTATGACAGGACCAGAAAGGTTCAGCTCTGAAGTGATGAATATAGCTCAGCTGCAAAGACAGAAAAAGCCATAGAGGTAAGGCACTTCCTTTTGTAATTATAAAGGAAGCAGGAAAAAAAAAACCAAACCTATCCCTGATAAAGAAATAGCAATTAAGGCATCTCTCTGAAGCTGACAGAGCACACATCCTCAGGTGTGAGAGTGAGGAAGAGGGTTTCCCTAGTAAGGAAGAATTAGGCTAAAGAAACAACTCTTGCTGTCAGCTCTACCCCACAGCCGCAATCCCACGAAGTGATCAGCCAGGAGGGCCCTTGGCATTACAGTGATCTGCTTGTTTCTCACTTCCATCACTGTTGCAACTCTCAACTCTACTTGATTTCCCTTCTGAAGGAAAAAGAGAACATTACAGATTGTTTCTGTAAAGTTGAAGAAGTAGCTTCCAATGGACTCTGAAGTTTTTATTTACTTGCCAGCAAATACATCCTTCCTAGTTTTAGTTTACAGGAGGGAAAGGAAGCAGAGATTGTTGTCTGGGTGCTGCCATATTCTAATAGTCCAAAAATTGGACATGGGAACTAGGTTGAAGGATAGTTCTCTCTGCTGAGGAAGCCAAGCCTCATCAGCATCCTCACTGAGGCAACGCTGGCTTGGACCAAGCTGTTAAGTTAATATTCTAAGTGCTCAATTACAGGGGCTATTTATATAGATTTCAGCTGGCAGACTCAGCCAAAGTACAGCCAGCTTGATGCAGGCAGGATCCGGTCAGCTGAGAAAACGAGACACTGCAGTGCTGATGGAGCCATGAACTTTAAGTTTATTCCCTCTCATTTGGAGGAGCATCCTACCACATAGCAACAAGCTGCCAGAGAAAGCCACTGAGCAGCAGCTTGAAGCCAGCTGTGCCCCCAGCAGCAAGCAGGGCAGCCAGAGCAGTGGGAGTGAGCAAGCAGCAGTGTTTTTTGTTAGGATTTCAGAAGAGGGTGGTCAGCAGTGCTCCCACTGGTGCTGGCTGAAAGCAGTAAGCACAAGGGCTTGGCTGCCTACAAGGCAGGTGGCAGAGATCCATGCCTTAGCTTTGAAAGCAGAGGTAAAGCAGCATCTCTTCTGCTGTGTCTGACCCCACCATTAGCAGGGAGAATGCTCTCAGTAATTGAGGAGCACTGAGACTCAGTGTGGAAAAGCTGCAAGGGTCCCTATTGCCACCAAACACTGAGTTGCAGATGCTTCCTTCAGCTTCGTGACTAGGAATGTGTCAACAACTTTGGCATGAAACCAACCAGGAAAGATTCTCAGCAAGAGAAGGCAAGATCATCCTACTCCAGGACTCTGAAACTTGCTCTAGCCAGCAAGGGTGGGGAGGGAGGAGAGCAACACACAGGGGACATCTTTGGGAAGAAACATACCCCAACTGGTTTTACAACCCACATCAGGATTAGCAGATGTCTCAAGGGTTAATTAGTTCACCAGGCACAGATGGTAGCTGGTAGGGTTTGCGGAGTGGATTAACCTAATTTGTGGTTTGTAATGTACCATGCAAATACCCATTACTAGACTTGCAGCAATTCTGCACTTATTTTGATTTGATGAGAGAAAACCACACAATGGATGCTTGCATAGTAGTGGTGCCTATTTTGAGTGACAAATAAGTTGCTGTTCACTTGGTTAATGTGATCAACAAATTGGAGTCTGGAAAGCAATTCCTTCCTCTTTTGCTACAGAGGGTCTTCGGAAAGACCTAGATGAGACCATTTGTTGTGAATGCACAGAATATGCCCATGGTAACCACTCCTCACAGTTGTACTGAGGTCTCTTCCGCACTGACAGATGGTCATAGAGCAACAATTCAATTGCCTGGTAACATGAAGGCAGCTTTCTGAAGCAGCTCTGAAGCATGTCAAGTAAAGCCCCACAAATCCAAGGTAACAAACAGCACATGTGGCAGTTCAGGCCACAGCAAACATCCATGCCTATGCAGAGCCTCGGTTGCTTCAGTGAAGCTCCAGGTCTCTGCACTGACTGCAGGTCAAAGCATTTATTATTAGATCACATCCAAGCAAAGGACTGCGTGTTTATACAGCTCTTTGCACAAGAGGAGGCCTGGCTCAGGGCTGGCATGTAGAGGTAGCCCAGAGCAGTGCAAGGCTCCCTTCTGTTTTGTTAAGGACATGCCATGCTATTGCATTTGGTTCAGAAGGTCTCAAATGTTTACAACCAGTATCAGCTACAGCAGTAAGTGTTTCCATAACTCCTGTTAAACTCTGAACTTGGATTAATTGTCTGTGCTCTAAGGAGCAAGCACAGGACTAGCTAGACATGCACTCTGGCAAGGCAGAGGTCAGGGTAGAGGTGATATTGGCTGTCAGAGGCATTCCCCAAATGTTTCTGCAACAGGCCATGCTCATGTTGTGCCTGCACATGCCTGAGACACGGCAGCTGTGGGATTCCTGCCGGACAGCGTGGGACAGCTGTGCTCATGCCCCAAAGCCTCCTCCCAGCACATCTTTGGTCAAGGCGGAAGATGTGTTCACAGTCCTGATTTGCTGGGAGATGATTGCATTTTAAAGTGCCTATTTGTCTCTTGTTTAAAGATAGAGTAGTGTCCGCACCTACAGAGGAAACTACATTTCAAAGCTATGTGTTACCTTTAGAAGACTTTCACAGTACACCCTGGAAATTTGTGCTTATTTACCCTATCACTTGTTTGGGTGTCATAAAGCTGGTCTTTGTTAGAGGCTGCAGCTACCAACTCCCTTGGCATATTCCTTCGTTCATTGTGTGCGCACTCCCACAATACCCAGCTCTGAACAGAAGGAAGCATTCCTCTGCTGCTCTAAGATCAGGCAAGAGGATGGCTGGGAACAGAGTCCCTTTATGCAGCTCATTTGGTCAGAGAGCTGCTTCACATTCCTCTTCATACCAGCTAAATGGAGAAAGTATCCCTAAATCCCACTGTTTCCAAGCCCTAGCTGTGCAAGGGGCCAAGTACTAAGAAAGAGAGAAGAGGAAATTGTCCCAAAAGGAGACCTGGCAGCATGTGGAGGTGGGACAGTCAAAGGAGGGAGCCCAACTTGAGCATCCATCCCTCACACGGATGGAGGAACACATCACTTGGCCAGGAGGCCAAGAAGAACCCAGCAGGGCAGCAGCCAAAAATGGCATCTCTGCTACACAGACTCAACTTAATCCCTCTTCCCCTAATGCCATGGTAGATCAGCTCCAACTTCCCTCCAGAGGTACAGGAATGGAGAAGCAGCAGTTTCCTCACACTCCCAAAGCAATCCTCACATCTCTTACAAGATTATTGCAACTCCTGTGCATGTTAACTGGCGCACTGAGCCCAAAGCTCTTCTGGTTTCCTACTGCTATTTTAAGTCACTGCTAAATCAGGTGGCCCCAGAGACTTCAGCACTGTTTTTCAAAGGTCTTTACATGGCCTGAAACCCCCAGCACTCAGGATGTGGCACTTCCCTGGGAGCTCCCACACTCAGTTCTGCCTTCTACAGGGTCACTTCACCTTTATGGTCACCTCCTCTAGAGAAAGTGCTGCTGCCAATTTAAGTCACAGGCCTCCGTGAACAAACACTTCAATAACATTACATTTAGGAGATCCTAGAAGTTGAATCCAGTTAATCTTTGTAGGAAATTAGGAAGATGAAGCATGCTGTAGTTTAGCACATTGGGCCAGCACCTAGTACCATGCTTGCCTCTTCATTACCACAACAAACCTCAGGGAAATTCAGGGAAAGGATACCTAAAGTATTGGCCTGCAAAGGCAATATCCATTTGATGCACAGGACATCAGGGTCAAGCAACAGCTTTGCTTTAGTGCATCAATTAGCTTATTACAGAGCTGCAGCTTAAAAGCTCTCATAATTAACCAACAAATCAATCTAGGCAGTGACATTCATTGGAGACCAGTATGTTACATTCATCTTCCCCTCCTTTCCGAAGCCCAAGCCATTGCAGTGTTTCTTCATCATCTTAAAAAGCAAGAAAAAAACCCTCCTCTCCCCTGTACACAGGCCAGAGTTTTACAGAAGTTGCTATTGGTTTGAAAGTCCTCTCTTTGGATGCCCTGAATACAACTGGGAGCACCCAAGACTCCAAACAAAGTCAATGAGAGTTGCAGGTGCTCCATACTGCTTGGGGGGAAAAAAAAAAAAAAGAAAGAATAAAAGGAAAAAAAAATAGAAGAGAGAAAGCCCTGACACATCCAGCTCAGCACAGCCAAACCCAGAGGCCCATAATTACATGTCCCTATTGAAAACACATCTGTAAAAATCACTAAGAGCTACAAGGGGAGGGGAAAAGTTGGATTTATATAGTTTCAGATCAGGGTTTTATGGGACATTTGAATCCAGGAGCTTAAAAACAAAACACTGAGCTACAGCCTTTGAAGAAGCCCAAACCCAGACACAGGCATTGAAAGCATTTTGCATCAGAAGCTTCACTAGATCCTTTGGAAAAGCAAAAGTAAAAGATTCAGAAGAGAATAGAAAAGCATTCCCTTCCCTCTGGAAAAGAACCCCAGCTCTCAGGCTGCATTTTGACTGTTTGCTCAGGTAAAGAATGACTTAAGAAAAAAAATGGGAGAGAGAAATTTAATACAATTATCCTCTCAGACTGAAGAAGGAGCTGTATAAATACAGTCAGAGGAGAGCAGTCATTTTACCTGCAATATAATATGTGGTAGATTTCTTCTTGCTAGTGCAAAGAGCTGATGCCTACCTCTAGCAGGCTTCAGCAATGAGAAGTTAAACTCCTACACGATTTAATGCCACACAAGATAAAGGGAAGGTTTAAGGGGAGAGGTGTTGAAAAGGGGGTGGAATGAAGGGTTAAGGGAGCACATGGGTAGGTCCTCTCTGTAATCATGCAGTACATAGAAAGCCAGAAAGCCTGGTATCTTACCTGATTTTCTCTTTGAAGATCCATAGTCCCTGAAAAAAAGACAACAACAAATAGACATGGTTAGAGCTGGAAACGGTGGTGATAGAATGGGTGCCTCCCAGATTTCCACCCATATGCTCAAGAGCTCATCCTGTGCACTCCCTCCTTTAAAGAGGAGGTCGGGACTGCAAGGCATTGACAGGCAGGGACCAGGACGGATCCTGAGCAGCACCAGCTCATCAGCAGCAGCAGCTGGGGCTTCTGCAACACCAGGGGCTCCGGGAGCATGTGATCAACGAGACAGAGCAAACCATCCACAACCAGCAAGGCAGGGGAGAAGGGTGTCATTTTTTCCCCTTTAAATTGAGCTATTAAATGCAGAGCTACTGAATTAACCCCTGACATTCCCCTAGAGAGGAAAGGGAATATTAAGTGCTTGATGCAGGGGTGCGGCTGCTACGGGCTTATCTGGCACTGCTTGCAGTCCTCTCCTTTCAGAGGCTGATTAATTTGTGAATAACCTCCAAACCTCTCCTAGTTCTCTCTGACAAGTACTTATCTTCTGCAGGGAAAAACAAAAACAAACCCCAAACTTTGTCCTTTCTTCTTTCCTCCAGGATGGGCAATGCACCCCTACTTTTCTATAGTGATTAAAGGGTGCTGGCACCTTTGCTTGTGGCAGAACAGCTGAGAGCTCTGACAGCTGCTACAGAAGTGGGAAGGAATTATAGAAGGGAGCTGCAACAACTGGTCTTGGATAAGCAGAACTGAGGACAGAAATACTTCACTATGGCTGTGCTTCTTCCCAGCGCTTTCTCAGCCTCTGAGACCCAGCTCTGAAATGGTCTGTACAGGCAAGAGCCTAAGCAATGACAGATTGGGCAGACAGCATCGCTGTGTGGGCACAGTGCCTGTGGCACAGTCACATGCTGTACCCAGAGGCATTAATGGTGGGAAAACCACCCAATGAACCCACTGTAGAGGCAGGCTGTGTTTGCAGAAATCCCACTGCAGGGGCAATTTTAGGATTTGGAGGGGGCAGGCTCTTAGGAGTGGGGTTTTGTCCCTTGCAGCATGCTGTGTATTCCACAGTAATCAGAGAAGGATTATCCTAAACTATGTATTTAATTTCAAGAGAGTTTGGGGAATCATCTAAAGAAAAAACATGTCTTAAGGGCAGAGGTATGTCTACCCATAAATTCTGTTTCTCCCAGCACTTTACTTGGATCCCACGTCTTATATGTCTAGGATTTGCTTCCAGTGACTAGTAACTACTGGGGAAGTTTTTGCACCCTCTTTGGATTTTCCAGTGTCATTTCTTACTTCAATTAAATGGTTGTTTTCTCAGCCATGTCTGCAGTTGTATTTGGTATGAGGATGCTACTGCTCATGAATAGGCTGCTTCTTCTACACAAGATTTCATATGCAAATATAATGCCTGCTATATGGTGCCCAAAACAGAGATCCCTCAGAATGAGACACTGAAGGCACGATCCCCAAAATGTAGTCCTCTGCCCTGGCTCCACTCCCACACCAGCTTGGAGCTTTGTGGTTGCTGTCAATACAGCTCTCTTGGTGTGCAAGTGTCTGTGTTTGGTCCTGCCCCAAAATGCCTCTCTTCTGACAGCGCTAACTGGTGAGAAGGTGAAACCCTGCTGAGATCCCCACATAAAACTTGCTTTAACCTAGTATCGTATCTCCACTGTGCACATTCTTGATGATCACTTTAGTATCTCCTGCATGTCCCGGCTCTCTGGTCAATGGCAAACAGAGTGTCAGCACATGCAGTGACTGTTCACATGGGCCAGGAGCTCTGTCCAGCAAACCTCATCATTGCTTCTCCCATCGCTTGTGCGTGGTGAAAACAAACCTTAAGGTTAGTTTGAAGAGGGAAAAAGCCCCTTACTGACACTGCAAAGTGTACAGCTGAGCAAATTAGGGTCAGCTACAAGAGGACGAAGTAGCAAGTAGCTCTCAGTGATGTCCCTTTGAGATCAGGAGGGTAACTAGCATTAGAGGATAAGGAATGTATTCAGGCTCTTGAAGGCAATTGAACCTACAACTTCTGGTTCCGTTTCTAGTCTTAAGCACATGACCATTCTTACAGAAGAAATGAAACAATTATTACAAAATATTTATTTGAATCCCCACTGCCCCCAAAGTCATGAGGGTTGCTCAAAAAGAAAAAAATAGAAATCCAACAATCAAGTTACTGGGCAAGTTTTCATCTTTTCATCTATTCTTGCTGTAAGTTTTAAAGTCAAGCTTTATCAGCTTCTGATTTTGGAGCTCCTGAAGTCCATGTACCCCATGTACTCCCTGCCTTGTCACTTTTTTGAACACACACATTTCACTTATAAAATCAGGCCAAAGCAGTATCAAATAAAATGGAGCTTGAAATAAAATCCTCATGTCCCCAGTGAAAATCTGAAAGCCAAACCTTGTTCCTCCCAGCAAGGATGGGGAAAAAAAAATTTCTGCTGAAATAGAAAGCAAAGAAGGTACAGCAAATTATATCTCTGGCTGAGTAAAGTGCTCTCTGTATACATACTCTTCTCCTCTTTTCTGCTAATGAAGAAAGCCTGTGCTGCTGCTTTGCAATAGCATCCAAAAAGGAGCCCTGCTTGATTCCATGTTTATTTTTATGTCCTATTATTCTGCATGTGATTCACTGATGTCTTTTCCCTCTCCCAAGTGATGATCTATAAGATGAATACCTCTCAGACTCACTATTTTCAGAGCAGCATTATTGTGAGGCGGAAGTATCTGATTGTGTCTCCAAAACAATTAAGGAAATTAATTAATGGTGTCTCATAACTGTAACAACTTCCAAGCAGATACTCCAATCTTCTCCTTCAGTACAGCCTGTACCTGGCATACTGCTAGCCCTTAAATCAGACAAGAAACCTCGCCTTGCAGAACAACCACCTTTCCGAGGAAAGGCACAATGAATGTCACATCTGCAGCTACACAGGGAAGATCATTTCTCTTCAGCTTTTCCTCTTTTTATCTCTTTATCTTTATAAACACACATATATTTCCATTATTCTTCCATTTCTGTATGAGAAGAGATACCACCATCCTAATTTCCCTTCCAAGCATAGCTGCAAGAACAGCAGTGAAACCAGCAGATCTGAAAATAGCTCTGGCTTGTCCCTTCTTCGTTAGCCAGGATCACTCCATACTGAACAAATTCCTTTCACAAAAATAGTGTATTTCTAGCCTTTTTTGTATCAGAATATGGCAATTTTGTCTAAAGTCTTCCCGTGGGGCACCACCTTTAGCTGACACTGAACTTCATTACTGGCAAGGAAAGCATTTCCTGCTGGTAACGATATTAAAATATCAGTGGTGCCAAGCACATCACACAAGCTGGAAACATTCTTCCTTATCAACAAAGGAGAGGGAGGCTGGATCTCCTTTTTCATCAGCATTACACCAGGATAACATTACTCATTTGAAAACTAGGAATGAATGTGAGAGGAAGACCACAAGCACTACTACAGAGCTGATTGCCTTGTTATCACGTTAAGCTATCCACAGTCAGTCTGGAAATTTGTGAAAGATAAAAATATCTTATGTCATTGATTTTATATGGCACTTGCAATCTAATTTAATAATGAACGTTTTATTAACAATATTATAGAAAAGCTTTATGGCACATCCTTTCTTTAGGGACATACTTGGCTGCTGTATTCAGTGAGTGTTAATAAACATTGATGTATGTTTGTGGCGCGTGTTTTCATCTATCTAAATACATACAGATATACACAAACAAGCAATGGCACAACTGGAAAATTGTTAAACAAATGAGAAGCATTCTGACATTTGCTCAATAAAGCCTAAGAAATGTTCCAAGTGGAGAAGACTGGAGGTGACCAGGTGTGTCTGCGATGGGCTGTGCATATCTCTTTAGCTGAACTTCTAATTCAGTTTGATTTGTATCTGTCCCAGAGGGTTACTCCAGCAAGTCAGCAGAAGCCTCCTGCAGGAACAAGGATTGTTTGCAGAGCAACACTGCATCAATAGAGGGGCTACAAGGATGCAACTTGGCTCCTGCTTAGCTCCCCCTCAGAACTGATGTACTCAGTCAGGGGACTTCATCCCTGCAGTAGCCACGATGCAAAGGCTCTATTAAAAGCTTCTCATCAACACTGTTGATGCAGTGTTGCCACACGGCAGCAGACCCAGCAAGCTCACTCTGTGGGATTCCTCCTTTCTCAGATATGTCACCTTTTAGCCCGAGGCCTCTTGCCTGCCAGCAAAGCAAGGCTTGGCTTCAACTCATTTAGCAAAGTTTTCAGACAACTGTGAGTTTGAACCATGAGAGAAAACAGCGCCTGCAAAGCATGAGGAGCTGTCAGACCCACGGAGGAGAACGGCTGGGGGAGCTGCACAGCAGACATTTCATCAGACGAGACAGAAGCTAAAGGAAGAGTAAATCATCTTTCTGTCTGTTTCTCGGTGTTTGCTGTCCAAAGGAGATGAGACAGTGACAAACCCTGAGTAATGGAGGTTAATCTGTGTCCTCTAGAGTATTTTAATACATAAATTAAAATTGTTCTGTATTTGTTGGCTTTTGCTAATTCATGTTTAAATACATTGTATGTGTTTATGTTCCCATGCTCCTTAATTCCTAAAAGTCTCCAGTGGTGTGGGCAGGCTGCAGTGGAGATGTATGACATTTCAAACAAACAACTCAGATTATCATTTAATCGCCAATGATTTGCCAGGCAGATTAAAAGCACAGAAGTGTTTTAACAAGGAAGTTCAATCTCTCTTTCCCAACACTCATACTATCCGCAGTCAGTAATGAAGACGACTTTTCCACAAACTATTTTTCTTAGCACTGCTATCAGATTCTGTGGCAGTGTTTTTAAAGTAAACCAATACAAAAATACTTTGCCACTGCTCTTTATGCATACAGAAACCTGAGCCTTGAGAATATATTTGCATCTTGAAACTTCTAACTGATTTTCCTCAACAGCCAGACTGATGTTTTCTATTTGAGACAAGGCACAATATCAAGCAGGGCCAAGAACTGTCACTA